TTATAAAACTTTATATACATGTCATGTGTTCACATGTGATTTAACTTTAATATATCAAAGCGGATATAAGATAAAATAAGTTTGATAAGAATTCAATGAAACCTTGTACTACGTATACATTGAAGCATTTTCTAACTGCTCATGCAATTATAAAAAAATTAGTCATTCGTAAGCTGAGATGTTTGCAACTAAAGTTGATACTTTCTCGTATTCCTTGAAATACCTTAACGTGCTATTTTTAACTTCTTTCTATTTTTATTCTACTTTTTATGTCTTTTCAACTAAAAACAAGATTTTGATTAAAAAAAAACTATACTATTAAACTACTAACAATCATGTTAAAAACTAATATACAAACATTATATGCAAATTTCATCATTCTTGACCATTTTGAAAGTACAGCGATATAAAATTCATAATTTGTAGTAACACTTGAAATAATGTGCATATGCACATATTTAACACTTATATACCATTTTTTATTATCTATGCATTACTTGTACGTTTTTCATTATATCAACTGATGCATAAATATGATGAATTAATAAGACAAGGAAAATATATTTTCATATTTGTAATATTGCGTATATAATATGTTTATCTCAACTTTGTTTCAAATTAATATTTATTATTTAAATAGTGAAATAAATGTGTAAAGATGTAATTTTACTTGATAAATACTAAATTTATAGTCTCTTTTAACACTTTCACAACCGCATGTTAGCGCAGTGAAACGTCGCCAGTGGCCAGCAATATTTTGGAAGAAAAAACTTTACGTAAATTCATGAAACAATTAACATTATTATGACGTGCTAAGAAAAGTTTTGCAAGTGGCTTGCCACTGGTACCACGTGGGAGTCACCGGCAAATAGCGACTGGCCTATCAATGGTACCACGTGAGTGTCACCGGCAAATAACGACTGGCCTACCAATGACACCACATGAGTGTCACCGGCATACAACGACTGGCCTGCCCATGACATCACATTGGTGTCAGCGGTTGTGAAAGTGTTAATGTGCGTCATTGAAAATATAACATTGAGTTTTGCAACTTCTTTAACACATTGAGCGCCACGTCATCCATTAGCAGGATTTCACAAATAATTTGCAAGAATTTTTCATGGTAACAAATATATTTAATAGTAACGATATATAAAATGTATGCAAGTGGTTAAGGAAAATTTATACGTCAAAAAGATATATAACATTACAGTTGTTTTTTATGATATGCTTCGAAGCAATTTAGGCAAAGTTGTGACGTTTGAGAATGACGGGTCAGTAGATGTAAACAAATGTATGCACACAACGCGACGTAATTCGTATGCGAAAGTTATATTTACATTTCCTGATTGACCTTGTTGGACCGACCATAGGCTTTATTCGCTGGCGAACCGCGAATTTGGGTTCCGCAGGAAACATATTTAATTTACGCTGGGCGCTCAACGTGTTAAAATGTGCTTCTAACTAGTTAATTAACTATTAATACCATTAAAGAGAAAAAAAATTGAGAGTATAAGACGACATGGCAAACCATCACTGCATTCTAATTAGATCTATTGTAACCTAGTGTTTTCTCAAATATTTTGCAGATTCAAACTTTTCAAGAACTTTAAAATCTGCTTAGGATCTACACCCTTTCATTTTAATCCTTCGTCGGTAAAGAGAGACGATAAAGACCCGACCAATTCTTTGATGGTTAATAATTAGATTGTAAATAATCTAGAATAACTGATATATGGCGATATTCAATCGTTCAACTTATAAAAAAAGTTATAGTGAGATGATATATGGGAAAACGTTAATATCCAATTATTCGTTTTTGAACAAGAACGGATAAAACATATATTTAGTTCCTCAACGACCCACTTTGCAGACCACGTAAATACTCTTGCAAATTAATAATTTGGATTTTTCGTATTATACATGTTTTTGACGCTAGTTTTAACGAATACATAAAAGATTTTGCTTTAAAAATGCATTTAAAATATATTTTTCTCTATTTTACATAATGTTTTTTCATTGATTTTAATAAATATATAAAGATTTTTCTTTGTAAGTAAACTTTTGTTTTGCATGTTTTCTTGATAAAATAACTATGTATTACTTTTTATTTTTTATATTTTTCATATGCACACTAATTTTGATAAAAATCAATTGAATTTAATGATTAATGTGCTACAAAAATAATTTTATTTTTTTTTCTCGAATGGGACTTTATTTTCTTTCTCACAAAAATCTTAATTTTCAAGTGTTCAATTAATTCAACTTTTTGAAGCCAACACTGTTACATTGTTTTTTTCCTAAGTACATATCCTCAAGTCCTACAACTTAAAAGGCTTATTTTTCTTTCACTCATATGAAAGTTACGAATTTTTAACTGAAATCCCGTTTTTTCCGTTATTTCTGTTCCGATTTCAATATATAAAGAATAAGTAAAATGCAGTCCAACTTCTACAATTATAAAAACTTGTTATTCAAGCTTTCACAAACATGCATTTCCCTCAACGACCTAGATTGCCCATGGAAGATGCTAAATTCAACATTGCCGACGGAGGATTAATGATGTGGTGGCCGCTTCATTGAGAAAAGTGAGTCTTTGGCGACAAGCAGTAGAATAGTTACAAAGTACCGCCGTTAGTTAACTAACTAATTAGTTAACTAATTAGTGAACACATGCAATGATTATCCTAGTAACCTGAGTAAAAGATCGAGTAAAAAAATATTATTATAAAGCGATTTTTGGCAATCATTTGGTACTCCAAACTGTACCAAAATGTACCAAGCCATTTTCGCGCATTTGGTATTACATGGTTAAGGCGTGGTTAATCGTTTTGGTGGGATATATGGGATATGTTGTAGAAGAGCACTTCTTGTTAGAAATGGTCGCACCTAAATAAGGGGTGACTAAATAATAAAGAAGAATTATTGGCTCTACTTAAGAGACATAGTGGAATGCATGGATTACGCATCAACACAGCCAAGATAAAGATAATGATAGTGGATGGAGATAGCGAACATCAGGCCGATACACGTATAGGAAACTATGAAGTAGTTGATAAGCGCTGAGTTGACTCCATTGAAGATCTTGGAAGAAGTATAGAAACAGCGATTAGAGCTACAGAAGAGAGGGACCGATGGAGAAGCACAGTCAAGTAGTAAGCTACACTAAATCTTGAACAACAGCATGAATGAAGAAATGGAGACGACATCATGATCACTAAACATCTGCTAAAGATTGGATGGCTTCAGATTAGATGGATAGAGTCGTTTTGGTATCTTCGGTTAATACTACGCTATACCTTACTAAAAAGCAAAGTAATTTTTTTCCAAATCTCTGGTATTAGCCACAATACGCGTCAAAATGAAACATAATCGTAAGCAACGTGCTTTAAGTCAATTGCTTCTGCACTTCGAGTTTAAATACTGATCAGTAATAAGTGAAATATTGGACTGTAATCGCGCGTAAACAGAAATGAACTATTCTATTTTAGCGTCAGTGGTAGCACCAGAATAAGTTCCACTTCTACCAATATCAACCTTGATACACGTACCGAGCGATCGCCAAAAATTGCCCATAAATGAAGATTTACAAAAAATACAGCTGATTTTGCAACTGTGAGTCCGGAGGACGATGAAGAAAGCGCCCTACCAAGAACGATAACTTCTGTGCATAATGGCAAGTCGCCGGTACCCGTACAGTACTTGAACAATTGTAATAAAGATGAGTTAATTTAAAAGTAATTGTTTGTATCATTTCTGGATTTAGACCGGTGTTATCCGATAATATATTATACGAGGTTGGCGAAACTGTACCATCTCTAACCCTTTGCGATACGAGAAAAAAGTCGTACTTGAACGGACTAGTCACCACATCGTCGACGACTGTTCCTGTTGGTGGATTGCCCCTATTGTAGAATAACGTCGTGTTACTTCTTTTCGATACAATAATAAATATCATCTTGAAATTAGGGCCATAGTACAGCTCTTCCAGCCTCTTCTTTAGATTTCCAACTTCATTCTTGTAAACTTGCGATATTTCTCCTTCACTGACACCGTCGCGATAAATCATAAGATACATTGGAAGAGCTTTATTATTCCTGCGATAAAACTGCACAGCCTTATACACTCCTGTATAGACTTGTTCCGCCAGCTCCTCCTCATTGTGATAAAGAGTGACAGAGCTGTAGAATTTCGTCATAGTTTTATCAACAGTTGCCACCATAGCCACTGTAATTATAAATTAACGCAAGTTAACTTATATATGTGTGTGTATCCAGTGTAACATTCGTATAGATGTTCAGAAGCAGCAAAAGAAAAAAGTGAAGTAGATATTGTATGGTTATTAGAATATTGCAACATTATGCTCGTCAAATGAGTATTACAAGATACTTACGAAAGTTTCTGCCTTTGATGGCTTTATCGTGACATATATCAAAACCGATACTCATTAACCCACTCAATGGAAATTTTATATTCCAAGGGGCTCCGCCCAATTTGCAGTTCATCTGTATTGCCACTTTTGTAGCAATACTCGCGAGAGTTCTTGAAACTAAGTTCTTTTGCAATAAGACCTGCGATGGTACAGGTCTGTCTATGCAACATTTATTCTTAATAGCTCCGTACCGATCTGCACGGGCATTACTCACTATACAAAAAACTAAATCAGGAACAAATTTGCTGAGAATGTATTCAAGATTCTCAGTATATGTGCTCGGTTTATCATCACGTATCCAATGTATCCGTGGCTGATAAATACGAAATGATACTTCTCGGGATACTTTAAGTAACATACTTAGAAAATGCTGGAAAATAACATCGTTAACGTGAAAATTTTCGTATCAAGAAATATATCAACACTTTTGTATCTTAACTCTTTCGTGCCTAATGGGACATATATATCCCGATCTTTCAAAAATTCATTCCGCAAAACTAAAGATAGCGATTTCTTTCTGGACTCATAAAAAAAATCACAGATGAAGGTTTGGACTTAAAAAAAAAAATCAACGCCCTTGTGAGTTCCACTTCTTGATTTGCATACTTGATCAAACACTCGTAAAATATAGCAAAAGTAAGAAATACATACAGGATGACTAATAAGTATCGGGCCGGTGAAATATCTGGAAAAGGAGACATTTGAGAAAAAAATGTTCCGTACAAAAGATGTAAGGTTTCGACAAATGCATCAAACGGCGATGTCCACTTGACCTTAAGCGCAAGTATGGAGGAGCTTTAAAAGTCAACTTAAAAATTTGTTTATGGAAATCCCCATTTTTATTCAATATTCTTTTCAATGTCCGATACTTTTCAGTTACCCTGTATATCTTCCACAAAAATGAAGATAACGAGTTCTTTCTGGGTTCATTTTGAAGATCAACGTGAGGGCTATATGAAAAAAATCGCTACTTAATTTCAAAATGAAGTATTCAATGTCACGGACCTAAATGCAAAATTTTGTTATATTCACATGTAAGTTGATATGTATAAATTTAAAATAGCGAGTCTAATATAGAAGACCAAAGTGTTAAATTTTGTTGGACTTGAGTGAAACTCATTTTCAGTTTTTCGAATCGCTGATTATGAATCTCAAGTTGAAATTTTCAAATTCAAAATATTAAATCGCCGTCTACTTCCGTTTATACATGGCTATTTCGCCAACTGGTGAACTGAATTACTAATCGAACTACTAATAAATACCAATCATGAAAACAACTGATGAGAAGTAGCTTTGAAAACAATTGGTGTACCTATGGAAACAACTGATATTTTAAAGCAGTGATTCCAAAAATCCCCGGAGAATTTGAGTTTCATTAAGAAAATATTTTACATCTTGGTCTGTCATTTTGAATTTTGAAATGTTGACTATAGATTCATAATCAGCGACCTTAAAACCTTTGATAAGACGTGAATTATATGCTAAATATTTCTATAAAAAGTCAGGCACGAAAGGACTAATACATGTTGTACCTTAAATTTAACACACTCAACAAAATTTATTTATATACCTCTATATTTTGTCTTTCTCGTTCGCAGCCAATCAATATCCAGTTTTTCAATTCCTTGTTGATTAATAATGGCGCCTTTTGCATGTTTCTCGACCAATCTCCTTGCCCGCTACTAATAACTACATTCTTATCAAATAGAAGTTGCTCTGCAGGTAATACACGACCAGGGGCTTCGACTAAATTTGCCCCTAATTTCATATTCCACTTGTTAAATTCTTCCACGGCTTTCGGTTCTTTCCGAAGTCTTTTACTGAAAGTTAATAATTTTGAAATCCGGGTTTCAGGATTGATACGAGTATACACAGACACTGCTTTCGTGAGACGGAAATTTTCCTTCATACTATCGGTAAATCCTACAAAATAGAAGTCTTGATATTTATAAGCAGGAAAATGTATACATCGATTACAATTGGCATATCTTAACGTATCGACACAACGTACCTGTAGCATGACACAATTCAGGGACTAGATAAATGTTTTCCCCTTTGTCCGCCCTTCGATCCTTTGGTTTACTTTTCGTTACCAACATTGGTTGAGTCATATCGTTTAACTTGATCCGATATCTCTGCCAGTAATATTCTTGATAAGATATCGATTCCCCCGTTTTTTGGGAAGTGAACTTCGATAAAGGATTTATTTCCCAATCGATATCGTCAATGCGGTATGTGTTATTATTATAGGCCGTAAGTGCGATTATCCCAATAACATCTTTAGAGAACTCGTTCTAAAATGGCACACGTCTTGTTAAGTTTCGCCCAAAAACAAATGAAGTATAAACGGGTATGAATATTAATTTTACCTTAAAATCTTGCCTGTTGCGACTGTAACAATCCATTAGTATATCTAACAATGATTGCTGCCGCATTATTTTATGTGACACTTGGCAACACATTAGAATATTGTATTCGTGTTGTCGGATAGATGTAATATAACCAGGCCATAAGTCCAATTTGTGTTCGTGTATTCTAATCTACGGTCGAATGATTAATATAGGAATCGCTCCTTTTTAAACAGACACACAAGCAGTAAAATATAATCATATTCGTACAAACTTCTACTTACTTTATTACCTCCATCGTAATAGTTGCGTCCTATGAGTTTCAAGTCCAAATGTTCAAAGCATTTTCTCATTATTATATTAAAAATTTGAATATAAGTCGGATCGTCTCGCAACACTTCTCCTACTAAACGTACGCTTATTTTGATCTGTATATCATCATCTCGTCTAACTGCTATCAGTTCCAATCCCTGACATTGGCGAATATTCATGTACAAAAGTGCTCATTAACAAACTGCACTTATACAGAGTGAATCGGAATGGTTAAAGTAGCTTTTTACTTTGCGAGATAGATTACTGATTGCACGTCTAATCGACGTAGTGGCGTACAAATGGAAATTAGATCTACTATGCAAACTGTCGATCTAAATGCGATATATTAGCAAACATTGCTTTAGTCGTACAATTCAATATAATCTGACTCTAGTTTCTCACGTGTCTGTATTTCGCGCTTGAGCTAGCAGTTCGCATGCATATCTATGCAATGACCAGCTACATGCCTTTTACACACAGAATGCGGAAATGCTTGCCGCGCGGCAAGAAGCGACGTAACAGCCAATCAGCTTTTAGTTTTCGTGGAAAAACAGCATGTTGATTGGCTACCGCGTCGTTTCTTGCCGGGCGATAGGCGTTCCCGCGTTCTGCGTGCAGGAACTATTAGACGTGCAGCTCCAATCCCTGAAATTGGTGATTATTCATATACAAAAGTGCTCATTAATTTGTCTTATAGTAAAAATCTTCAACCATTCTGATTCACTCTGCATATACATAGAACAAAGGAGAATTTATTGCAATAGACTTACATCTGGTTCGTAAGCGGCCGTGTACAAAACAGTTCCATCGTAGAGATGTTTCCCGATTCTTCCTTCGTAAGCTCTCAACATAGCTTTACGAACTGCAGTGCGTTCTTCTGCCGGTTCAAAATCTACGTGATACTTGTAAAGATGACGATTAGGTAAGCTTTCCAAAGTGAAGTAATTTGTTTGCAGCATTATTTGTTGTCCCGACGTTCCTGGAAATTAATTGAAGTAATCAAGGCTTCTACTGCCTTCTGCAGTTACTTTTGCTACAGTTATCAGAAGTCTGATGACATCAGAAACGATTTAACCATTGAACTATATAACGTACTGAAAAAAGCACTGACGTGGTTTACAGTTATGACTAAAAATTTGTTACATTCAAAGGCCATTAAATTTAAGACTGTCTTAAATTCATCTACAGATGCTTCGTAGCCAATGAAATGAGCCGTACAGCATCTAAAGATAAAACGGTCTTTTATATAAGATCTGACTATAAATATCGGCTATAGAGAGAAAACAGAAGTTTTTTTTCCTCCTCCAATTCTGATCCCTTACCTTTTATTATATAAAAACGGTGGGCATTTCAATAACAGCACGGGTGAAATATATCCAAGTATGGTGTTAAAAATCACGATTTATACTGACCTTTTTTAGATACTAAATTACTTGGTTTGGTGACAAAAATATGTTCTAAAGGCAGACGTCCACCATGTTGTCTTGATCTATTACCTCCACTTCCACCTGTTAAAAATAATTATGTTTAGATACAATTAAAAAAAAAATCTGATACAATATAAAATATCAAGTGATTAGAACTATTTACCAGCAGGAACCACCGCCATCTGTTCAGCACCATGTTGTTCTGAATGTCTAGATGATGAACTTGGATCAGTAGCATACTCAGTAGCATACTCAGGGTCTTGTGTGACTTTCTATTATAATAAAATGTTCTTTGTTATGTACACGTGTGCATGTTTTTCTATACGAATATTTAATATTAGGACAATGTAACATTAAATATCACAAAACCTTACCTTTACTTTTCCTGATGGATATTCTCTCTGTTCACAAAGAAAAAATCGTCCAATTACAAAATATTTGAAGAAAACATATAACTTAAAATATACAGGATATTTCAGAGAAGAAATAATAAGATTTGAAATGTTAAAGAAAAATTATGACAGAATAGATATGAGGAATATGAACTATAGGAAGATATTGAGAGGAGAAAAGATACTGATGCAATAAAAAAAAAATAAAGATTCTGAAAAGAATACATAAGAAAGGACTAATTGATATTTCTGATATGTAAAATAAAAGAGTATGTTGGAGTTTTCTTACATTCGCACAAGTAACTAACATCTTGAAAGATCTCATAAACCGGCATTCATATTCAAATTTTATATATAAGATTGTCTTAAATTTATCTTCAAATACTGTATAGATCATTTCATTGCTTATGAAGTATCTGAAGATGAACTTGAAATAGTCTTAGATATAAAATCTGACTATGAATACCGGTCATAGACTTACTGATTCTTGAGGCCTTGAATAAGGTGTTCTAGAAGTTGAGCCACGTGGCCCTCTCCTATGATATCCACTAGTTGATGGTTTAGACGGATCATAATCCCCTTTATCTCCGTAATGAGACATCTGAAATATAATATTTCTGTTAATACCAAATTAGCTATTGATAAGATATACTTAAAATAAGATATACCTAATATAAGTTGTATATAGTATTTTTTGTTAACTGAAACATGTTTCAATTTCTATTAAAATTATGTCAGATTATGCATATTTATCGTGTTTTTACTAAAATAATGTATTATTTGTATTCAATTTTTATTTATACTTTGTAGTTGAGTGAATAACTTGAACACTTTCATTACAGCAAAGCTTATATATAATAGCAGCAAAGAAACTGAAATATTTTTCCTTGAATAAATTTCATAGAACACTGCTAATATCCGATAGAAAAATTAATCATTCGTAAACTACTAAACAATAAATTCTTTTGTTGCAAAATTCGATAGAAAAAAGATGAAAGGACTTTTTTGTTCCCCTAGCTGTTTTACTGCAGTTAAAGTTATTTTTTAACGGAATTGTATAACTTCTTTAACATAAATCGATTCCTCTATTTATTTTGCATGACAAAAACACTAAGATTATCAAAAAGTTAATACTCATCGAGATATTTTACTTTTTATTCTAATACTTTTCAACATTAGTTCATGTTACATATGTACTATAGTTCAGGAATAGAAAACAAACATAAAGGAATAGATGTAGTGTTGTATACAGGTAGTGATGTCAGAATGCAAATGCAGCTCTATCGTGAGACAGTTGAAGGGAATACTTATACATAAAATAGCCCTTTGTGTATCTCCTCCACCTGTTTTACCTGTCATTGAGCCGCATTTATATTTTAGCATCACATACAAGCCTTTGATCACCTGTAGTATACCAGATTACTGCTCAAGGCTGTTATATATGATGCAATTATTTAAATAAAAAAGCATACATATGATTCTGAATAAGCTTGCAAAATTTAAACAGGAAATAGAGAATACTGAATATTTTGAGATAGGGAACTTATGGTCTGCAAAATCAGTTTAACAAGATATGGACTTAGACGTGTATGTTTTGTATACTTAATAATAATAATATTATCATATCACTTAATAGAATATACATTATTTCATTGTCAAAGTGCTACATCAATGTAACTTGATATTGTGTTTAATAGCCTTTCTTATGTATTAATGTGGTAATATAGATGATTGAATTTGATATAAAGTTATCTAACTGGTTTTATGTTTTATGGTTTTTTTCGCGCCTTCAATATCAACCGGCTCGCCTCGTTTTTGTCATCAATCTGCCGTCAGATTGGTAAAAGGCTCTGTCGCGTTTCTGACAGCTGTTTGGCATATAATGTGATAGAACAAAACCTGTGTTAGATTTGTTGCCTTTCTGTCTTTTTGCCACCAAAAATTTGTAGCGGGTTCTGCTCGAAATTCTGTTTGCACATGTGGCTATTTAGGCAATTGGTTATCACAAACGATCACTAATAACAGCGATTAATAATTAACAATATAATTAATTATTAACAATATAATTAATTACTGATAATAATGAACAATAATTAATAATTAAGAAACGTCTGAAAAATGGAACAAGCAAAGTTAGTTTGAACGGCCCCCGATTAAAGTTTCTTTTTCACAAGATATGAAAAAGAGGAAAGTCGATATTGACTGCGTTCAGTAAAGAAAGCTCCGCGAATATTACTGAGTACCTCTTAAAGTAAAGCTGCAATTTCACTAATTAAACGAATAAAGCGTTTTACTTCTAATGCACCAATTCGCTGTACACAACGACCGTAAGCAGCAAACTCGTTCTGTTTCTCAGTTTCTTAAACCAGCAATACACGATTGCTGGTTTAAGAAATACACAGCTTGTTTTCGTATCGGACCGTTTGATGAATGGAAATACTGCGTTTTGATTGGTATATTATCATCCATTTTTGGAAATGCACCTAAAGAGTTTTGGCTTCGAACGTCCTTAAGGCACATCTCCATCACCATCTTAGTTTGTTAAATCACTCGGTATCGTTCAACTAATGGCTTTTGCCAACAAGACACGGCAACGCTTGCCGCGGGACGGAAGTTCGCACGATAACCAATCAACGTACCGTTATTCGGCAAGAACTAGAAGTTTATTGGCTATCGTGTGAACTTCCGCCGTGCGGCAAGCGCTGTCGCGTCCTGTGGGCAGAAGCCATAACAATGGTATTACATCTAGAGAAAATGTTAGACTCTAGAAGAGATTCTCTATCCCACAACCAATCGGCACATCCGACAAACCAGTACGACGCATTCTCAATGGGCGAACATCGATGTTTGAAAAAACATCAATGATTTTGCCTATCCCTACTCATTCCTAGCGTACACTATAGATTTTCAATACTGATAATAAAATCAGAATGTGTTGTGTGTCGAAGCCACAAGCGTCTACTACGCGTTAGTTTTTGTTGATGTCGACAGTTGTTTCGATGCACGTTTATCTGCGAACGAATAGCTTAAAGGAAGCAGTGTTAACAGTGAAAGGACTAAACAATTTTTTCCAACTTTATTTATAAATCGGGCATAAAAAATCAAGTAAACTATTAAAAGGTAAGTAAAAATCACATAATTTAATAACAATTCATGTTAAAAAAAGGTTAGCAGAATATTAGTAGTGTATTAACATTTATAGGATATTGGGGATTTGGCAAATTTGTTCAAGACATTGCAATATCTGCTGTATATTGTATTTACATGTATTTAGATTGTTATAAACAATAATTTGATTTTTGTCGTTTGTATTTTGTTAACAAGTAGTTTTGTTATATGTGCGACATTTTGTGTATATTCTATTCCATTGGTAGCAGATAAAAGAAATTCTGAACAAAAATGAATTAAATAAGGTTTTCCTAATTATCTCTCCAAAATTTGAAATGCTATCCGTACAATACACATGTTTAAAAGATATTTTCAAGACAATTTAGAGACATACTATTATCTCAAAGACATCTTAAGAACATCTTAAGATATCTTCATATTCTTTGGGTTATTGCGCACTTATTCTATTATTTATACATTTTTACCTCGACTCTATTCTTGCCTGTCAATTCTGTCCAGTAATATATAATAATTTCTATACATATAATACTTTTATTATTATTTTTTCATTGCTTTATATGTTTGTTTCATACAGTGTGAAAATAACAATGGAGGAGGAAATATGTAATAATGTAATGACGTTGAAGGATGAAAAATACGAAATAATAATGGATGATGAAAACTGTGAAGTAATAGGGAAAGATGAAGAATGTGAACTAATGGAGGATGAAAAATATCAAGTAACAATGGAGGAACAAGAAATTAAAAATAAACACCAAGAGAAAATGGAAATTCGCAAGTTGTCTTATAAAGCTCCAGTTAAGAAATATGATTACAAATTAGAATATGATTATGAATCACCTCAAGATGAAAGACGTCGAATCTTGTTAGAACGTCAGAAGAAGTAAGTATAATGCATATATTTACGTAGGAAGAATTTAATATAGATATATGTAATCTCATATACAATGTGTGTGATAGATCTGTGTGACAATTATTGTAATTTTTTAAAGTAGAATCGTATGATTTAATATGATAAATATTTGTGGTAATATCAATATATTGAAATTATAAATAAACTTAATTGGACTATTATAGACTTAATCAAGTTATTAGATTTAATAAAGCAGTTAAGATAGTTCATAAAGATATTTCATAAGAATATGATATATCAGTCTTTAATATACTTATAGGTCTAGAGATGATACAGTTAATGCTGCGCGTGGTATATTAGAAGAAAATTTCCTTTTTGATTGTAAAAAATCCATGCGAAGGAGATATTCACGAGTGATGTTATCAGAATGGATGTTAGATGTACCAGAAAAGTTGATAGATGAATGGATTATGATTCCATGTCCAATAGGAAGACGAATAGTATTAGTAGCGAGCCAAGTAAGTATGACTTTATATTGTTGCACTTCCTCCTATTCCCACATTTAATATCGTGATTCTGCAACATTCTTGACATTCATATATGTTTTCTTTCGCACTCACGGTTTGACAAAAGAACGTTTAGACATTAAAGGGACGTTTAATTACAAACAAACTTAAGAATACAGCAGGTAAAAATTACAAGCGAAGTCAAACTAAATTTTGCGACCGATCGTGACACATTCAGGCGGTTTACTAATCTTTGTTCAACTCTCATTTTCTGTTACTAGAGAAATCTGTTTTTTTGTCTTATAGTTAAGGCATGTGAGGCCTGATGTACGTATGCAGATCGATATAATAGCCTTAACACGTTGTATAATTACGTTATTAATATTTTCTAATGTAATCCTATATATATATTTGTATACGTCTAAACATTATTGTAAAGTTATCAGAGCACCACTTACAGAGAACTGCTTTGACGCATTATTTTTGCTTTTTTGAATAATATATAAGTAATAAATTAATGATGCGTACGATTAGAATATTCCAATAATTTTATTGCATTGTTAAGGCTATTATACCGACCTATGTATAATCAATGCAAATCCATAATTTGTTTTGCCAATAATATATATATATATATATATATNTTATTCAACAAATTTTTATGTATAAAATAATATTGGTTCAAATCAGGGCAAAACAGTGGCATATGCTAAAAAAGGACAGCGTCTCAGTATCTTTCATTCAGCACTTCCAGGTGGAAACGCTAAAACTCACAGGTCAAAGTATACCATTATAGATTGTATTTGGGTGAAAAGTCAGCAGACATATTACGTAATAGATGTGTTAGCATGGGCCAGCGTTCCAACTATGCTTTGCGAGGTAACATATAATCGCATTTACATTCTAGAGAAGCCTATATTATAATTAAGATATTTAATATTGTTGCCAACAAATTCAATGAACTATTCTACCTTGTTTATTTTAGGCCGAATGTAGGCGATTCTTCGTGAACTCTCATCTACGTGATATAGAAGAGTTAAGGACAGAAAACGAAATAAATAAATATCGTATATTACCTCTACCACAAGTTAATTGCGACGTAGATCTAGGCTCGACTTTAGAACAAATTGGCGAGCAATATTCTTTAGATGGATTACTGTTTTATCATCGTAACGGATATTATAAGTTTGGCTTCTCACCACTGGCTGTATGGTTAAAACCATTTATGTTATCAGAAATATTTGGAATATTCGTGCCTTCACCGTATGACGAGAAACCAGACGGTTACATAGATTACAAACATTACATTTGCCAAATTACCCAGAATCAGCGGAGGAAAGAGTATATCCAAAATCACGTAAGTTTTGAAACTATTATGCTAGTTTTTCACCGACCATTTGATATACGTATTGAATAGTAAAAAATAGTAACGCACGTCAAATGTAAAAAAAATAGTAACTTTCTATTAAATTATATCTTAATATCGACGATGCATGTAAACATAAAAAGACGTTATACCAATTGAATACATCATTGTTTACACATATCGTCAAGATTAAGATAATTAAAAAAAAAACATTGGAAAATTAATGGTTGCTATACAGATGTTAAATGATCGGTATAAACAAAGCCATTATATAGCGAATATTGATTATGGCCCTTCAACTGATATATTTTCTTCTTAATTTTACAGTTTGGAATTTCTATGGAATGTACTTAAGATAATGATGAAATGGATTTCTATCTGTGATTACACATACACACACACACACACACACACACACACATATGTATATATATAGAGCAATATATAATGTATATTTTTAATTATTATGCATATTAAACCTCTGTGAAAATAAGGATTAAATGAGAAAGTTTACAATATATTTTATACAGTTTAACTTACACATTCTGTAAATATACCTAGCCAATAACAGAAAGATGATATTTTATATAATGCACATTGATATACCACAAGTATCTCTTGTTTATACATTTTCTTGCTTGTATAAAATATATTGTAAACTTTCTCATTTAGTCCTTATTTTCACAGAGGTTTAATATGCATAATAATTAGAAATATACATTATTTTGATGATGTATATAAACAATATTGTATTAAATTTATATT